CATTACAGATTAGATTAATGTATTTCATACACAGATATAGAAGCAAACATACATATATATTTATAGTTGTAGTGGTATGTGTATTGATTGGGTACTTGGATTGTAATATCTCAGAAAAAAAAAACACTAATGTAACTGGTCACACGCCTTGTCGTTTTGTTAAACATTCCTTTTGTAGTTTCTTCACTGTATGCTGACATTGACCACACGTTAGGAAAATATCTACATACATGCGCACTTCATACTCAGTCCTTTTCATTTTGTTGTCCCATTTACTTAATGCATTTCTCCCTTGGAGATAATGAACATTTAATTTGGAAAAATACTTTCCCATTTCTCTTGTGGCGAGTTAACAAATATTTTATGTGTTTAAGCGCGTTCTTATCGTGGGTTCTCTTTAGTTGTGTGTGACTTTAAGTGACCTCTCCACCTATTTATCTGTATAGCACTTAACTTCATTGGACAATGGGAACAAACATTCTTAAATGGGCTCATACAAAAAAAAAAAAAAAATAGGAAAGAGGAAAGAGGATCGCTTTAGTCAAAGTAAAACGGCGCCAGAAGCTACGTACAATAAAACTGCTTAAATAATATTCAATGAAGAAACGGAAAAATATCTAAAAAAAAATGCGAAACTTTTTAAAGGAATTTCTTTATTTAGATCGCTTTCACAATAGAATGCTGTTCATTATCATTTATAGGACCGAGATGACAGCATTAAGCATAAGTGGATTAAGGGAAAGGCTTTAAAATATCGTGTGGGTCCCGGAACACTAAACATTAATTTCCTTCCGGGCACAGAGTATTCATAGGCCCGGAATTTTCCGAAGTCTTGTAAGTTAAGACGTAAGTCAGAGATTTCTATTATCGCAATTTACCCATATTAGGACATGAACTGCATTAAGAATCCATGAGTAATCTTGACTCAACGAGTCCACATGATTAATCGGTAGGTTCAAACGAAGTCGAGTTTTTAATCCGAGTAAAGGAGGATTTACAGACAAGTAGCCAATAATGCAGAAATTAATCGAGGGTAATAAAGATAACAAAGGCAGTCGCTTAAACCAAGAATGCATTCAAAGCACTTTAATTTTTTTTACTTACATAAATAGTAACCTTAAAAAAGTGCGATGGTCTATATGTATATACACGATTCACGCGCAACACATATCAGCGTCGATCGATCTTCATCTCTATACATAGTATGCACTTATTTATGTACATAAGTTCTACAACCGTTTATGCATTCACTTATGAAATCATTCCGAATCCGCTAAATCCATTCCATTATGCCATTTGCATAAAAATGTTTAATCCATATTTCATTCTACCAAAAATGGCTCGTCTTGCGATCCATATTTTTATGCGGGTTTTTCAATTAGATTCACAAAATTGATTTCCAATCGGCGCAGCGCAATCTTAAGCGCGATTCACATGTCCGACTTTAGCCTGGGCAAACGCACACTTAAACCCACATATATGTAAGTAAAAATGCTCGTGGATCACTTAGCCAGGCCAGCAATTATGGCTACTCTAAGTGAGTTTGCAACCTGCAATTGTACGCCGCCGCCGCCGCCGCCGCCGCCGACGCCGCCATTGAAGCAACAATTCTTGGCGCCGTGACTAGACTGCGCAAGGCAACGTGTTGAGTGAGCAAAATATGCCAGCAGCGGCAGCTGAAAAACGCTGACGATTAGACGAGCGATAAGAACTACAGCGGCGATGAATGGCATCAACAACTGCCACAGGCTGCTCAATGAACCGTACACACCAGCACAGCTCAATTGCCGCGCTATGCTTTGGTTGCAACAATGCAGTCGGTCAGTGGTTGCAGCATTTTGTACTTGTACATACAGAGGTATGTACGTAAATATATTTACCGCCTGCATGTGTGTGTTTTGCAATAGTGTCACATGCCAATATGTTGTCAATTGCTTAATCGCGGTTTTGGATCTCAATATTGCAACAACTACAACAATAACATTCATTGTAATGCGACTGCAATTTATCGGTACGCCAGTCGTTTGGAGTCGCAAGTCAATCTGCGGGTCCCTTATGAAAATGCGGCAATGCAAATTGCTGACAATTAAAAAGACAACCTAACAACCGACAAACAACATAAACAACATTTCAGCAATAGTTGTAAACAGTAATTAAAACTGCCACAATGCGCGTTTGCTTACTTAGTACAGCGACATGCACAACTTTTTTTTTTATACCTTCAACGCAGCGAGGAGAATGGAGCAAATGGCATATAAATCCAAAACATTGCTCAAAAATAAATCGGTGGGAATTATTTGAAGATTATTAGGAATCTTTAATGCTTAAATAATTCAAGAGGTGGTCCAACACGGTGGTGTTTTCTCGCCACTACTGTTTAACTTCTACATTAACAAGCTTTCCCGGCCACCAAAGGGGGTTTCATTGATCTTCTACGCTTATGGTTACTCTGAATACTAACGTCCGGCAACGACACTGATCACCTGTGCTTAAAAATAAACGGCAATTTTCCGCTTCCTTTCCCTTACCCAAGTGCACGACGGAGCTCAAGATGCAATTAGCTATTTTAAGCGCTTAGATAAGTTTATTTATTTATTTTATTTCAAGTTAAACCTACTGGACTTAGCCCTCACAGGCTTCGATGGTACATAATTAAACACAATAACATTAAGGTACAAATTTATAAGAATTAAGATCCTACATCGAAGATTGTACGATGGCATCGAGTCTGGTGAGTACATTCGGCGAAGCGCAAATTTTGTAAAGCTTCTCTGAACTCCCTCCAATCGATCGTAATGTGCTGTGAATGCCAAATCCCAAATAAAGCTTGCAAATTCGAGAAGAGATCGAACAAGGCTTGAAAAGAGGCTGATAAGAGTCAGCGGGTCTATAAAATCCTTTGAGTTTCGTTTTAGGAAACCGAGTTTTGAGTTGGCAGCAGAAACTAAACTTGGTGTCGAGATAAACTCCCAAGTCTTTGACAGTGGTAACACGCTGGAAGCTAGCATCTGTACCGTACACAAAATTAAATGTTATCCGGGGCAAGCCGACCGTGAGAAATTATGAGATTATATTTACGGAAATTTAGCATTAATCCATTACATTTGCACCATAATATGAGGGAGTACATATCATTCTGTAGAGCGGCGCAGTCTTCAGGGAGTTTAATTGGATGATATAGCTTGAGATCGTCGGCGTAAAGTAAACATTCACTAAATTTGAAGACCTTAACGACATCATTGATAAAGATAGTGAAGAGTAATGGGCCGAGAAGTCACTGAAATTGCCCGAGAGTGACTGTTACCAACTTTGACGATTAACTTCCTGTTCCTCAAGTAGGACTCAAGCCAAGCCAAGTCTGAGCGATGGAATGAACTCCCAGTATCCCCAATTTGGCGATATGTAGGTCATGATCTAAACTGTCATGAGGCGTAGTGACGTCCGTGTAGAGAACATTGACCTGGGATCCATTCTCTATTGCGTCCAAAGCGAAATTTGAAAAAAAAATAGCGAGGTTGGACATGTACACCTTCCGGGATAGAAACCATGCTGCTGCGTATCTATGTATATGGTTTATTTCAAGGATTGAAAAATTACAATAGACAATCAAGTGTTATTTGATATTCTAGAATAATAAATATCTGCGCTGGTCATTTAAGAGCATTTCGACATCCCCTGATGTGACTGGACGGAATTTAAAATTTGATATTTCCAATGGTGTTAATGTATCGATTTAGTTGTAACTTTTTTTACTATTATTAAATATCATGCGGATTTTATTACACTAGTATATGAATACTTAATTTTTGTTTCAAAACTAAATTCCTTTTTTTTAATCTCTTCAATAACACCAATGCCTTCTCCTTGGAGACAAACCTTTGGATTTAAACTTTTGCATCCGAGCAGAAATGCAATTGAAGTTTCGAGTTAATAAAAACTAAATCTGTTTTTATGTTAGTATTTGTAAACATTTCTCTAGCTCGACTAAGCTAAACAAAAAAAAAAAAAACGCTCAAAAAAAGCTTATTGAGCTAAATGTTCTTAAGCAGTACGGAGTTCTTAAGAAATTTGCTACTATGGAGTCTACTAAAATTGTATATTTATGCTATCCAAAATCAACGGCGATTCGCTAGATGCATCACTACTCCTCGGAAGTGATTTGAGATTCCTAAAGTCATCCCTGTGCTATGCTTGGTTGGCCACATGCCTTATAATCATGTGGAAATTGTATTCCCCCAAGTCCAAGCCTCGCTGCCTACATATTCTAGGTTCATTGTCCAGTGTAGCTGACTTGGTGAGCAGCCATAAACAATCTGGACTCTATAGAAATACCACAACAAAAGTAGTCCTATCCCTCTACCGCTAAACTATGAACTTTAAAACTCACCTCCATTTTTTTTTTTTTTTGACAAAAAAAGAAACTCATTCCAACGATTTTAATGTTTTGGTGGAATCTTTCAGGTTAAGCCTTTGTCACCGTGTCAAGGCCTTCCTTGGAAAATATGGCTTTGAGGCTTTCTTTCGTCACATAAAAACACACTTATGGGTGTGTACGAGAACTTTTTTTCAATAAAACTAATGAAATCTTTAGAAATAATAATCAGAAGATAATAGCTTTCTATTTTATTTTAGTGAATCTAGTTAGACATATTCTCTTCCAATTTAGTACCAAACTTCCAGTTAATTAGACAAATGAGTCGTTACGAGTGGTTGAACAAGCAATTGTGTCATGAATATTGTTGTGGGTATAAAAAGTGTGAGTTATTTAAAACAATAAATTGTTTTTTATAATAATTGCCGTAACTGAGTTCACAACAGACATTTGGCTTTGATATGTATGAGCTTTTTATTTATACGTTTTTTTTTTTTTTCTAATTTACCTGGCAAACAAGCTCTAACGCAATTCATGTGTGACTTTAACTGCTTAATTTTGCCATTATGTAACTTATATAATAATTATTAATGCATGTAAGCACGAATATAAATACATATATACGAACCTTATGAATTTTTATGGCTTGTGGTCGTGGGACATCATAGTCCTGTATGTAGCTTGTATCCAACATTTTGGCGACTAATACAAATGGGTAATTATGTTGTTGTTAAAGATAAAAAATTTGCTTCCAATAAAGATTTACGGATTTCGCCAAACACAACAAAACACTAAAATGTAGTGGTATCCTTTCGAATATAAAGTCATAATATTGACACTTCGATTTCGGTTTTAACGATTTCGGTTCAAAACGAGTTCCTTGCACCAAATCGAGTTATGTATTTAAGTATATTTAATCCAGGACAATATAAATAAATAAAACTCGATTACAACAGCAACAAGTTGAATGATTTCAACTCAAATACACACACTTCTTAGTTGCTGGCAAAAAATACCAGGCGCCGTCAATTCAAACAATTCATAAATATTGTTAATTTGAAACTTTTTTGTTTGGTTGTTGGTTGCTTTGCGCTTTTTCACTACACAATTTCACAGCTCATAATCATTATGCCTGGTTAAAGACAGACTTGTTTTTTTACTTTTGCGCTCGTTCCTTTTCTTCTATGTGGAATTCGCCAGTAAACACACTATGGTTTTGTTTTGTTTTGTTTTTTTTTTTTGCAAGCTCAGCTCAGCTTAAAAATCAAGTTTAGCGTGAACGGCAGGCAACTCGAGTCGAAAATATACTACAATATCTGTATATATACACTGTACAATAAAATAGCAACAACTCACTACAAAAGACAATAACGACGACACAAAACAACACTATAAAAAACCCATATGTTCGGTTATAAAAAAAAATGATGCCAAAAAGATAATGGCAAAAAGAAATTTTTGCCAAAAAAACTGCTGAGCTAATTCGAATTTTCAGTTGCCTCGACGTCGAGTCGAAGTATGAACAACAGCACAAATGCGATGAAATATGTAACCAAAACGTACCGAAAACTCAGCACGACTGATTGCTGAGCGAGCGAGCGAACGTACCGAAATCAAGCAAAATCAACCGCAACACAATACGAATAGTATTTGCCGCGGCAACGTTTCTCAAGCGACTGAATTGGTTGGCAAACAAGCGAAGCGATGAGCCGACACATTGAACGTATCGCAGTCGAGTATCGTTGCCACCATTTCAGTGTGTTTGAATAAAGTGGTGGATTTGTGAATTTGAAGTGACGAATTCGAAGAAAAGTGGTGGTTTTAGTTAATTGACATGTCCTTGGATGGCCGGATGAACGTTTGCCCGATGGCAGGAATTTATGACTGATTTTCCCTGGCCAAACCGCAAGAAAGGTGACCCTGCCATATGCGTCAAATACCCCGGGTTCAGTCCCTTAAACATCGCATTTAAGGTCTTGCCGCGTGCTAAGTGGAAAAAGCGAACCGATTGGGACTTACAAAGTGTCTAGGCGTGGTAATTTCAGGAAAAAACCAGGATGCCACTATACGCAAGAAGCTGTCTACACGCCTTGATGTGTGGTAGAAAAAACTTCTTTTAATTTAGATGTTGCTCGGACCAGTGATTGAACCCAGGTTGTCAGAATGGTAGTACGCACCTCTAATCGAGGCAAAACAATTACGCCTGTATAAAAAGACGTTGAGCAATATCACCACCTCGGTCAGAATTGGGAAAGACCTCTCGGAGTCGTTCGATACCAAAAGAATTGGCAGTCAGAGCGACTTCATATCGTGCGACTTCTTTAATCCAATGCTGGAACAGATACGAGAAGCAGTCAACGCATTCGTCACTGGTGACAACATAATTTATTCTATTTATTTAGAAAAGCCAACGGAGTACAAGAAGTGCTAGTTTGGCTGGGTAGCCAATTGAAAAGTAAAGTCCCCTTTCACATTATTTGTATGTTTGTAAAGGGCCCAGAAAAATGGGTAAGGACAACATCCGAGGAGGCAGCTCTTCTCTGAAACATTAGGAAGCGATGAGCGTTATGAGCACGGTATTGAAATGGTACAACGAAATCAAATAAGCGGATCCGCTGGCTTGTCGTACGGATGGATGCAACTTTTCCAGCCAAGAAATTATTCTTAGAGGTATCGAATGGTGGTAGCAGAAGAATAAAATGATCTGTGTTCTCGTAGGAAACATACGGACTCTTAGGTTAAGCTAGGTACTTTTAATTGCCCATAGAAGATAGTAGAAGTCCCATGGTGCCTAGAGATACTTAGCCGATTATGTTCTTAAGTATCCATAAATCCTCAAAACCTTCCATAGAAGTGGTCTGCGGAAATTCCGAAGCATATTGTCTTAGTCCCTAGACTTAAAGGTTATACTTAGTTTTGCAAAATATAGAAAGAAGTTAGAAGTCGTGTAAACCTGTTGTTTGGAACTGACTTAAGAATCTAAAATTCTTCCTTCCAATTAAATACATACATACATACGTGCGTTCTGCAATAGATAGGTCAGTTGTTAGAAATTTATCAAAGCTCAGTAGCTTTCGTTAAAGGTTCTTAAAATTTATGTATTAAATAGTGAACGTTAGGAAGTGAAATCAGGACACAATACGTAAGGAATTGATATAAACTCGTACACATACACATTTAATGCCTTTACAATTTCTAAGCTCAGGACAACTGTACCTGGTGGCATCGAACTTCTGAGTTTAAAGCCAATCTCTCCACAACACCCGCTCAGCTCTATGGAGTGTAGAGAAAAAGGATAATTGTTTAGGATTCGGAAACATGTGCACGAATGCGTTGCAATTGTTCTACGGACCCCTTCGCAGTTGACGAGAATTCGTTGATTATGCGGGAAGCACAACTCTATGTCGATTTGGTTTTTTTTTTTTTTTGTTAATGCCTCTGTTCGTGCAAATGTATTGTTGCATGTATGTATGAATGCGCTTATGCAGATGTGTTGTTGCAGCGCGTATGCACCCGTATGCATACATACATATATTTATGTATGTACAATGCCACCCGCAGACGACGTCGAATGCCACATCACTCACAGGACAGACAGACGTTTGTTGGCACTCATGTTGTCCGCAGCCGCAACTCCTGGGCAAATTTATTGTGATTTTTACGCAAAACTGCTTTCGCATGTAAACAAAGGCCACCACATGCATACATTTACAATATATACATACATATACAGTGGGGAGCATAAAGGAGTAGGCACACGGTGATTTTTTGTTAAATATTTGCAAGGTTTTTAAAGTTAAATTTTTTTTTGTTATATTTTCATAAAAATACGGTTCATGCTTTAACCAAAACCATATAGTTACATAAATCCGAGTTTATACAGAGCTTAGATAAATTTAACAAATTTTTATAAAAATTTCACTCTTTTAATCTGATTTTCTTTAGAATTTTTTTAGTACAAAAAGTGCGGCTGCAAACTTGCGTTGATTTTTAATATTTTTTTGCACTTTTTTCCATACAAGCATCAATTTCTTAAGGAAGAAAATGCGCAAGACCTTTTGCAAAGAAAATTAAAAAAAAAACAGCGCCAGTTTTTCAGAAAAAAAAAAATTAAAAACTATCCATATTAAAAAAAAAAATAACAAAAAATGTTTAACTTTAAAAACTTCAAATATTCAACAAAATTCACAGCGTATTCATTTATGCTCCCCACTGTATATGTTGGTGTGCATATTTGAGCACATGTATGTGTGTGCGTGTGTAAATGCATACATAAATAAAAAAATG